CAGTTCAGATTGTCGGAGTTTGGTGGGGCGAGGGAAACTCATTTTGTCGCCTTCATATCTAGAAATTGTGTGCCCGCAACGACGTTACTGGAGTTTAGCCGCCAAACAAAAAAGCAGTAAATACCGCCATATTCGAGAATCCCCTGTGGTGTCTGCGCATATTGAAACATTGATTTAGTTAAGCATGACAGTCTGAAAATACAACACGGGCGTGGAGCAAACAATCTAAAACTACCGCCCTGTCATAAGATTGGCGGGTTACTGACTAACCGCTGACATGAAGTCACCAGCAGGTCCGATCGGTCAAATAGATCCGAAAAAATCATCGCCGGCTCTCAAACTGGGAAAATGGACCTAACAAAGGCGTGAAGCTTCGCAAAATGACTTGTGCAAGGACCGAACAGAGAAAAATGACAACCTATATTCCAAAATACCAAAAAACGAACTCCCTCCGGTTTGAGCCTCTCTCTTCTCGAAGTTGTGAGGCAGTTGGAAACGTGGCGTTTCATCTCACATAAATGCTCTGATTCACGTACACTGTCGGGGCGCAGTCAGAGCTTTGGCGACGGGTGAAGGCGGGAGAAATGGCTCACAAAGAGCCCCACCTCCAAAGAAGGGCCAAAAATGTGTAGTGACACGGTCAACCCATGTTAGCCAGAAAACGTTCGTCATTTAGCCGGGAATAGAGAAGTGAGAAAAGTTATGTAACGTAGTTTTGAGCATGAGCGCTCGCAAACTTTGTAAGAAAAACCTCCACACCCGGCGCTACAGTCTCCTTAGATCGCGCGGTGTCGGCTTCGCCCTGATCTTGCGGCTAACACTAAGCTTCGGCTACAACGAGCGGGCGAAAATGAAAACGCATCTGAAAGCAGTACCTTTGAGCCCTTAAGAACATCAATTCGTACATTAAGACGATATCCTGGGTGAATATGTCACCTATGCGATTGCTAGATTGCTGGTAAGACCAAACTTTCCTCTACAGCACCACGAAGTGTTGTAATCTGCTGGTGAAACTGAAAGGGTCAAGATAGCATCTATGTTTTGGCATTGCCGTTAGCTGTTAATCTGTGCCGACGAGAGCCTCAAAATTATAAAAAAGATAAGCCCCGCCTAATCTTTCAACGATACCAATATATTTTGAAAAACTTCCGGAAGCATTATTTCACCAGCCCCCATTCAGCCCCCCCCCCCCAAGTTGGGTTCCAGTCCCCCAATTCGAGGAGGGAGAGATCCAAATCCGTAGAGGCACCTGTCTGTTGGTGTTGTTCGGGTAGATCGCGTCATCTTTCGCAGTTCTCCAACGCCTTCCTCCCAACTCCTTTTGTAAAAATACGCTCCTGTGCCCGGTCATTTCCCAGTTTGAGAGCTGGCAGTGGTTTTACGGATCTATTTGACCAATCGGACCTACTGGTGACCTCGTGCCTGCACGTGGACGATAATCCTCCCGTAGTGTGGCAGGCAGTAGTTTTAGGCTGTTTTGCACGAAGCCCGTGGTGTATTTTCAGACGGCCATGCGCAACTAAACCAATGCTTCAATACACGCGTGGTGTCCATGTTTAGTATCAGTAAGGATGCGTGCTAACTGACAAATTCTAACCATCGTAACGATCTAGTAAGGCATTTCACTTTCGTAAAGTGCTGTATGAGAGCAGCTGGTTTCACATTTGGGGCCAAATTTTTCCGTTAACGTTTGCATGCACGTTTTGCACCGCGTTATAATTATCAATAATTTTTAGAATGTGCGGCACTTGGTAGCATAATTCTTTGGAAGGGATTTGGCGCCAAACAAACAAATACTTTGGACTAGTTAGTCATTACTGAATATGCAATACGGTTCTTGTTAAATTTCGCACGCACTCCCCAAAGGCACCCGATTTAATGTCAACTCATCCCAATATCATTTGGGGCTTTTTGTAATCCTATGTTTGCTATTTTTGAGAGCTAACCGTTTTATCATGTTATGTGGACCTGAAAGTAGCAGTCGAAGCTCATCACTTTTCACACAGCCCTAGCTGCAAATGTCCATGGCAATGGCAATCAAAGGTCAAAACCATGCCAGAAGCGACAAATGTTTGATGCCAGAAGACGAAAGCCACACAAACTCTTGGTCTCGGCTCTTACATACTGTGAAGTTTACACATACTACAAGATTCCACATCGACTGAAGCCAATGGATAACACAGTATTGTTGGCCTTATTTCTCACAAAATAGCCGGGAGAAGGGAGGGGTACACGTATTAGATCTCACAAGCGCCCGATGTATTTATCTTTTCTTTTCCCGGTTCTTCTGCGAAGAATAAGGCTAACAGCATTGCCTTATCTATAACTATAATGTCTTCCGCAAATGCACTTAGCAACTTCCGTAGTCTCGTAATCTCGTAATAATGTTCTCGGCAGTGGAATGGTCTAATCACATTCAGCTGAGTACTTCGGCTCAAGAACAGAGCCAAGGATCTTGGATACAGGACCCGTCGCCATAATACACTGTGGAATCCAGGATACATCTTTGACATCCAGGAGCACTGAAACACTTGCGATAATTGCAAGCTATATTCCAGTAATCCAGCCCATTTCAGGCACCTTATAGCTGTCCGGATCACAATGTCATTCATCCACATACTTCTAGAATACCCCACGTTCTTCTACACACTACCAGTCATTGCACAGTCTGTGAGAGGCATGCTTATTGCTAATCTATCAGTAATGTTAACACAATGCATAATTTAGGTAGCGGACATGGTGCCGCTCTTGGCTTTGCTTATTGCATGCTGGGCAGCTAGTTCTTCACGACCCGCTTTCTCTTTCCGAATAAAATGTTGTCATTCCCGTCTTGCCGCCTTTACTTGTTTCATATTTTGATGATGATGAAGACAGGCCTGCCATACCCACCAGTTTGTGCCACAGCATCATATATTGTTTGATGATTCAGAGTTTTTACTTTGAATCCAGCATGCAGACTTTGCAACTGTTTTGAGCGACTAGTTTAGCGGGCACTGCCTTGCGCACGGCCTGCTTTGGTGAAGCCGACATTTTGCGTACGCCGTGCCCAGAATCGTGGAATGGTGTTGTGCTTTGTAGTACCCAACGTCGCCCTCCTACCGGCAGTACAGTACTCGCAAACCTGCGCTGCGTGTAATCCATACAGCGAAGTTTAGCACTGGGTTTTTGGGGGCATTTTTGAACATGCTTTGATTCCCCATAAATTTGTGTTTTCTCAGAGTCGCCATGGCAGTAATGTGTAGCATAATCGTACCTTACATAGGCTATCATTTTATCATTTTTTAAGATTTAATCCAAACCTTTTGAATGGATGGATTTATGCGATCAGAGCTGACGCCAAGCAGCACTCGTTGTGCGAGCCATGACCCATATCATCCGATCGCGCAGTTCCAGGTCAACGGAGAAATTTGGTGGCGAGAGCTTAATGAGCCGCAATGCGCCGCTATGCTCGACACTGTTCGTCCTGCCCCCTGACATGACCTGACCTTTATTGCGGCTGCTGCCACCGGCCCCAGGGCATATCTGTCAAGGGTAAATAGCGAGCGCCTAAAGCGCCTCGAGCTCATTTTTCCGCGGTAGGGTGAATCGAAAAGCAGGTCCTCTAACCAACTACGCCATCTGGACGGACTGTCACAACGCTTAACAGAAAACCGTGCCTTATATCAAGCTTAAATCATGAGATACGTTGGTGTTGCTCACAATTCGGCGGTGAGGTCGATTCCGATTTACTAACTTGGAAATGCTCGCACTTTTCATGAATGACTTCAGCCTGCTGAGTCCCGAATAGCTTGGCAAGAGGACGAGGCATTTCCCTTACGACCAATGTATGATGGTTGCGACCTTATTTGATACCTGACGAAAATGAGGGCTGAGACACTTCAATCTGTTGCTTCTGCTGACAAACAAAATGCACTCCGGGTGGCGAAAATGAAAGTTGACCCGCCCCTATTCGCCGCTTCTGCTGTGAAACAGACTACACACCGTTCGTGGCCCGCATTAAAGCCAATTTGTTGACCCAGTCCGGTATACCCACAGATGGGGTGGCAGCCATCCGGGAGATGTCCGAGTTCATTACGTTATCTGCCGAGTCTTTACCGAGTCTATTACTTTATCACCGAGTCTTTAATGTGGAGCTCAAACGGCAGCCCCCTAGTGACGGAAATGCGACGGTCCTCTGCTGTGTTACGTGATCAAGCGCCAGGGGGTTCGAGTTTCAGAAGGGGTTTTCAGCCCATCTTAGATGGTCATGCGACCGATGTTCTCCATCGGAAGCGTCTCACTAGATATCACGGTACAGAATACTCCAAAGCGCACGTTGACCACCGGGAACTGATTCATTTGAATCAAACTGCCGGCATGGAAAGTTGTTCGAAGCTACATTAGTTCAGTTATTCAGTTTTAAGGATGCGTCAACTGCATTGGTTATTTACGCCAAAAAAGCTGAAGCTGAATCGAATTGCAAGCCATAAGCAACAAGATAAACTACGGCAACAACCTTAAGTCTGTTGTGGCTGGCCAATCAGGCTAAACGGCCCAACGCTTGCCACGCGTGTGGCAGTAAGACTTTGGCTCTGCTGACAGCCGACGGAGCTTATCTTTTACGCAGAAGCCAAGGACGCCAGGTTTTCACTGAACTGGAATATTTCAAATAACGTATTCTTTTGAAGAACACATTATGAACTGCCATGCGATTGGTAGCGGAATCCATTTAGTCATAAAGTCTATTGAACCACTCAGCTTTGACCGACTGATACGCCAGAGGTTTGGGATGAAAATAATGCGTTTGATTGTCGTCAGCCAGGGCTCCAATTGAAGCTCCATCCAAAAAGTTACCTAAAGTGGAAAATCTTACCTGTTAAGAAAACTACGCTTTGCAGCCCGACGCCCAGCTATCATGTTTCTAGTTCCATATGCGCAAGACTACATTTCCACCTGAAAGATGGCACACATTCCTTCAGAGCTAATTGCGCGGGCCACAGAAGGCTGTAGGCGTTTCTCACCCGCAGCTGCACGTCACCGGAACGCTCCAGGAATTCGTCTACGAACTCGGCCGCTTCGCTGTCACACAGCTTACGGGACATGCTGCGAGAGCAGTTGTTCAGCTTATTGTATGTGCTGAAAGATAGAGCATAACCCATCAGCGGACCCGCTAACCGTATTCAGCTGGCACTTCTGTCTGCTGTCACGGTACAGGAGCACGAGGGAGGAGACAACGTTCCCGCCATTTTTCCAAGTGAAACGTTGAGTGATGATGGATGACAAGCATCCCCAAGACCTCCGCTTTTTGAGATGATTCCGCTTTTCTCGACGCCTGTACAGACGAGGCTGTTTGTTAGCGGTCAGATGCCAAGCAGCTGTTGGGATGTAACTAGGCCGCGCCTGTTCGGGTAACTCGCCTGATCGGGTAACCGCGCCTGTTCGCGCTCCGAGGGCCCAGAGGCCCCAGCTTACCAGCACGTCTCGGGCGTGGCGTGCGCGTTGTCGCCTCTCTCGATGTGGTACACTGTTTTCTTGTATAGATAGCCGCAGTAGTTGTAGTCGATGGTGACCAGCCTCAGACATGGGATGTGCTCCAGAAACCCTGGCGATAAGTTTCAGCGGGAATGTTCAGCACGAAGTGTCGTAGGAATGGGAACATTTGGCTGCTGCAACGTTCGATCCTGTTTATTCCCACCACTTTCTCGCCCACGCCGCAATTGCCAGAACACTCAGTATTAGGCAGATAACGTTGCACCGCAAGCAAGCAACACAACTGCGCCAACATTTCTGGACATCAACTTTGGAGGTCGGTAAGGCCCTGGCCACAGCCGCTCCCGTGCACAAAGTGATTGCTCTACCAAGCACAGCATCCAACGCCGGCGTAACAGGGATATCGCGGAACGCGAAACGCTGGAACTGCCCGTTGTCGTTGCTCGGCTTCACGGAACGACCTCCGCTTACGGTTTCTGAACTCCCCCGGCTGGCATATGTCGTTCATGATGCCCTTGGTGCTGGACGCCGTCTGCAGGTACACCTCGCGATCCGTCTTGTCGAAGCAGTTGCTGATGTACGAAGTCACGCACTCGACGGCCTTGCGGGTCATCCTGCCGGCGGGGACGTGGCGTGAGCGCCTACACAACCACCGCGTTTGTTCAAACGGAATGCAGTCTGGGGCTGGGATAAGCGCATGCAACACACCCTTTTATATTATGATCTGGGAATAGTTGAACGTCTTTTGGGCTCGTGCCAAGACCTTCGCCTGCCCCATCGGCTGTCAAACTTTACTATCAGACCAATGGCGTTTAGTTTCACGGTCAGTTAATAACGTGCTAGCTCTCTTGGTGTTAAATATTGCGACTGAAAAGTTTATCGGTGTTAACAGGTTTTGGACGCCCTGTGTGTTCCCTACACATAAGAAACATGATACCGTGACTGAACTGTGTAATTGGGCCCTTAAAACAAAACAAAAAACAAAACATACAGCAAGGCTACTGAAAACCGAGGGGTGGGCCATGACAGCCAGTTCTCAGAACGTTCTCAGTTTCCAAAGCGGGACGTCACTATCAGCAAAATGCAGCCATGTCTGCTCCAGATCAGTTCAGCCGTTCCGCCCACAATCACGCTGGAGATTGATCCCGCGCGGTAGCCGCATCACAATGGGAGCATAATTCTCGCAGACCGAAAATTCTTGCGAATGGACTTGCTTGTGCTCTCAATAGTGGTCGTTTTCCGGTGTGCTGTGCTATAACGACCCGAAATACTGCATTTCCTTCGCATGCATCTCACGTACGTCTAATCAATGTCCATTCCAAGGCCATGGTTAGGGCAATTTAGTCGTGTGGAACCCTTAAGGGAGGCATAAAGCAACTGCTATCGCAACCCGCATAACTGACTACAACAGAATGAACTCTACATGTATGCTTTCCCTTACAATCACCGTACAAAACGAGCCTTCCCTTGCTTCTGAGCAAAACAAAGGAAGGAAAAAAGGAGCCAAAAAGGCCACTGCCTGCGGAGAAGATGAAAGCAGCGGATAGGCTCCGTTGGCTCTGGTGGATCCGAGGACGGGACAAATTGGACCTCTGGGTCCGCTTCTGGGCGGGGTTCGGAGCACTGAGCAGTCATAACGGCGTCTGGCGTGGGCGGCTGCCACCTGGCCGCCCGTCAACGACCCCGCAAGCCGCCGCTTGCCGCCCAGAGGCAGTCGCCTCGGCTGGCGTCAGGTGTGGACACCGCAGGGCACTGACGCCGCCCGAGCGGTCCTACGCGCTGACCTGGCGGCCGCGGCCACGCCTCATTAGCCGCCGACTTAAGGCAGGCGCCATTACGGCTACGCGCTGATTGACGTCATTAATCACGACCCGCGAGTGTAGCACTGCACCGTGACCGCGACTGGGACAGCGTGCAGGGCCAGCCGGCCGGTACCCCAAGCCGCCACCGGCTAGAACTCTGGACCGAAGTTTGCAGCAAACAATATTAGGAGGCCAATTAGCATTGGAGAGCCAACATTGGTAGGGAAAGGGGAGGGGCAAAGTCCTCACGAAATAATACAGAAAGACGTCCCTGATGTCCCGGAACAGCGAATGGACTTCAGGGACTTCCTTGCAAGCAGTCGTTTTCAACAAATGGCCAAGATTCATTTGTTGTAGTAGGATCAAGGCATGCTGGTTTACATCTGAATTTTGTGACTTTGTTGCTATGAACCAGGAATAAGGGTCTTGTATTTGTGAGCAAACCCGTGAGAACCACATATAACATCCGATGTACTCAACAGAGCAAATTAGATCCAGGAACCATATTCAGGGTCCTCGAAAGAGCCAAGGAGAAACAGGGTTTGGGCTTTCGTTTGGTCAAAAGATCCAGTGGAAATTGGGATCCATGTTCTTGTTTTCTCGAAGGAAACAGCGGAAACCTGGATTAAGGATTATATGTTGCTGGACGACCCAGTGAGAACCAGCACCTATGCGTAATTTGTAGAATGAACTAGTAGGACCAAGGATCCGTTTTTTTTTCGAAGAAGAACATTGAAAACCAGGAGCCAGGGGTTCATCCAGAGTACTAGTAAGAGGGCCAAAGAGTTGACAGAGGACCCTCTGCTGATGAAAGCCCATACTCACTCCCAAAAAATCACCGGATATGGCCCACTTGACTTCGGGGTGAACGATTTTCTCCATTTTACTTCATTTTGTACTTTGACTGAAACAGAAACCGGAGAACACCGCGAAATGAAAATCAATCTGTGCTGTTTGAAGTAAAAGTGAAGGAACTAGATGTGAAACAACTGTATGCAATAAACCGCTGGTGCTATTCATTTTACAATCATTCAGCAGGTTCGTTCTGCCTCAAAACCTCGTCTTAACCAGGGGAAAACCGTCCAATGCAAAAGGCCCCCTGGCATTCAGAATTCATCCCTTTCCTTCTTCACTAAGAAAACCCCTGGCTGACTCGGGCCCCTTATGAACATAGGGCATCCTGTTAGGCATTGTGGGTCCCTGACCGACCAGGGTACCGCTCATTGTTTCAAGGGCCTCGACCAATGTAAATCGCGGGCCCTATCCTCTTCCCGCCTCGGGCAACCGGCTCGCAGGCCTATACCAATGCGAAGATGACTGTTGGCACTGATGGCACTGATGGTGCCTTATTGATATAGAGGCCATCATCGATTCGGGGGGGGGGGGGCTCCCGATCGGCGCAAAATGCCCTCTGATTAGCATTCCAAGGCCCGGGACTGCTGGCCGGGGACCCTTAGTACGACTTCACGCCAGCCCTTCGGACCCTTTATTGCTACAATTGGGCCTTTATCGTGGCCTTTTTCGAGGGACCTTTCGGGGCTTCTTCGGCCAAAGGGTGTCAATGTGTCAACAATAGTTGCGGCACGAATAATGCGATCGACAGACTTCCATGACACGACTTCTGCACGACAGTAATTCGTATGCAAACGCGCCTAATGCATAAACTTCTACGCGACAGCGTTTCTAACGCAAAAAGGTGAGGCACCATTAGACAGGCGACGTTCCAGGCGATATGAGTTATATGCGACAAAAATTCCAGCGCAACAACTTCTATGCGACACTGCTTCTAATGCAAGAAGTTCTACGCGATAAAGCTGCTAACGCAAAAACTTCTACACGACATGACTTCTGAGTGACGATTCTTCTAACACAAATACTGCTCCGCGGCATTATTTCTAACGCATAAACTTGTCCACGACAAAACTTTTAATACGATAACTTTTTGACGACATTACTTCTATGCAGTACAGTCCCTAACAAAATGTCTTCTATGCATCACTTATAATGCAAAAACTTTCATTATTTACTTTTTAATCTATGCATGACGACGAAAAATTTATACTTGAAATGTCTTGCGTGCAACAAATCCCCTAACAATAAACTTATACACGACATTTCTTTCACCCCATAAAATGTCTAACGCAGATCCTTATGCACAACTTAAGTTGCATTAAAACAAAACTTACAACGCACTAATTTCCATGCGATTGAATTCGAATGCAAGGCTTCTGCGCGACATTGCTTCTAGGCATGCGTTTAGGAACATGAGGCCTGAGGGGCCATGTACCACGCTTTTCAAGGTGGGAGGGGCAGCAATATTAACTGCCCCCACTTTTCAGATATTATTTGCGTTTAGCTTACTTTCGTGTTATCTTAAACACGCATGCCGATTTACCTGGTTCACCAGACATCTTCCTCAAACCGCACTGGACAGAATTTCTTCAAGTGAGAAATGGCAGCATCTTATTCTATCATTTACACCGAACGGATATATTGGGGAGTAAACGTGAGGTTCTTCTAGTGCCAAAAAGCTCTATTCTCTCTTTTTATATTGTCTAGATTTTTCTGCATGACTGCTCACAGCCCCATCAGCACATATTCATGGTTTTCAGGATGGCATGATGTATCCCTCTAAGGGCCTCCCGATCGAACAGGGGACCCCGTCCCTGCATCACCAGAACGGCGGCCGGAATGCATCCCGCGCTGCGACCGAATGGCTCTTGAGCCTTGGACCGGTAATGACAATGTGCCGTCTAGTGTTCCACCCACGAGTCCCTTGCCCGGAAAACGTAAGGGGTCCCAGAAGTTTGGAATTGAGTGGATCGAAATAAGCACAAAATGAGAAAGGCAAACCCCAAAGCCAGAGCACATTCTTCTTTACGAAATCGACTGCTGAAACAAATATCATAAATCAGTTTTACACTCCGCACGCTCGGAATCTCAGTGGCAAGAACAGCGATGGCAGTTTCGTAAAACCGAACGGCGTTGGCCGCTGCCGGTAACACCAGGCGGCGCTCGCGGTACGCGAGAGAACGACCGTCGTAAAATAATGCCTCCAAAAGTATTTCAAAATAAATTTGAGCCATTCAAAATTTACACTGGGCGTGTGTCTTTAGCAATTTTCACGATGTTCCCTGGTGAAGTTAATAGCTAAGGCAACACGAAAAGCAGAGATTGTACCTTTTATCTTCCACTTCCACCATCTATTCCAGCACGTCTTCGCGGTGCTGTAAAGACTAATCCGTCCTTATCATCGATCCAAAAATCACACAGGTGAAATGTACGCTCAGACCACTTTCTAAACATACAAACTAATGTCTTTACGCGTTCAAAAGGACTACTTTCAGATCAATCGCCTTTTCATCTGCCTGTTAGCCAGCGCTTAGCGTCGGCGGCGGGGCCGACGCAGACCGGCATAAGGAGACTGTATCGCCGGGCTTTAATGTTGTTGCAAGGTTTGCCAGCGCGCGTGTTCAACACCATGCTACATAACTTTTCTCCGAAATTCATTTTGACAGAATGTTGAACATTTCAAAGCAAACCTGGTCTAGCCATATCAATATATAATTTGGACCCCATTTCGATCCACAGTCTACGTTCAGAGCGTTTTCAATATATCTGAAGAACGCAAAAATCTGGCAATGTTTCTGAGCTGTAACAGCTTAAACAAAGCGCACAGGACCGTTAAAATGAAGAGTGGCAGTGATTTATTCGATGCGGTCGTCCAACGCCTGACTTCTGCAGCTTGTTTTCTTCAAAATACAAACATAATTGACGCTGGGGCTTCTGGTTTCTGTCCTGGTTGCAAGATA